GCGAGGCCAGAGCGGAGCAGGAGAAATAAGCCAGTGTGAGCGTGCATCATGATTTGCTTTGTTTAGTTTTTCCTTCTCGAATGCACAATATTTATGGACTCTAGAGAACCGAGTGTCCGGCTAATATTTTTAGATTAAAGATGACTCTCGGTTCTCTGCAGCGTTTCCAATTTTAAAACACAAGTTCCTGTTTTTGGTAACTCATTTAGCCTCTGCAGGAATATTAGCACACTGACTGGGCGGGTCTGACGTCCTTCAGTGTTGAGCTTTAATTAAGCTAACTACAGGGGGCTGTGTAATCGTCCTCTTCTCATCTCTGATCCTCATTAGACACTTGATACGGTATAAAGTCAGAAGCTCAGAACAGGCTGCAGCAGACAAGGTCGCAGTTCTTTGGAGGCCCCAAAGATCCAGAAGCACGAAGCTGCATTAAACACAAATGGACGGCATCATGCCGTGGTCACTTCTGGCTCCTCGATGGCTGATGCTGAAGATCAGGTGATGTCAGAGAGGCTGTGTCAGTCTTATGTACAGTCTGAGTCGGCTCATGTTAAACACACGCAGTAGTTGTTGCAGTTACACAGTGATGCGTATAAATGACAGTTCCCTCGATGCTGGTGCGTTTGGGCGATGGTGGAAGATGTGCGACTTCAGGTGATTCAGGACAATTACGGATTTTGTAAAACTCGTTACTATTGGTTAGTGCTGTTGTGTTGTTGTTGCCTCACTCTGTGTATGCTGGGTGTGTGTTTGCTGTAAGAGTAAGTTACATCGATGGCGTGCAGGTGGAAACGTATTTCGCACCTGCTCCTTTGGTCCCCAGACAAATTGTGATGTGTGTACATCAGCTGGAGGCAGACCTGCAGCTGGTCCCCTATCTGTAATGTTGTAAGTAGGCTAATTGACTGTTGAGCTCCCATCTTAATTATAATTATTACGAATAAACAGTGGCTGATGCCAGGCCAGAGAGCCGTGCAGTACATATTGATCAGTTTAGGAGAACCCGCGCAGCAGTTATCGAGCAGCCTGCAGTCTGATTCACGACCTGCACATTGCTCTGGAAGATTTTACAATATCCAGAGATGCTTTTGAATATGTATGCCTGTAAATTCTGCCCATGATGGCTCGTAACACCTTTTAATACTGAAGTTTAGGGGACTGTAAGTCTTTTTTGCTTTTTCCATTTTTCCTCTCTCTGTTCATAAAAATGGCTGAACGCAAGCCCGGATGGAGAGTTCGTTCGTAGTTCTGCGGAGCTGCACGGCCACACCCGTCTGCATGAATCTGTCCGCTCTTCTGTCGGCTGTCCAATTAAGTAAAATGCTCCCTGCCCAGATGAGGCACCTAATGATTAACTGGCAGGTGTTTTCCTCCTTTCAAAACACAGGCAGCCCATTAGAGGTGAACTAATCAGTGGGCTTTCTTCACATGCAGATGGCCTGCAGTCCTTTATTGTCTGCCCCTTGCCACTGAGCCAGTCACAGATTGAGGCGTTTGCATGTGTGCATACGTTTCTGTGTATATGCACACACCTCTTTGGAAACTCTGAACAAACTCTGTCCTTGTCGTGTCCGGAAGTCCACATGTGGGCGCCGAGGTCGGGCGTAATGAGGTGAAACCTCGTGGATCAGCGTAGTCGGGTTACAGTTGTGTTTAAGCTTGGAGTAAAGTCAGTGTCCTCTCTGAAGCCACCATTACTGTGTGCTGACAGTCAGGACAAGGATC